CCCCCCCGCACTCCCCACTCCCCAATGGCAGTAATTGAAAGACACAGAAACAGGACCAGACTTTCAACTGGCCGAGCTGGCCATGTGGATGATAGGGGTTTGCAAAGTTTTTCAGACATCTGATCTCTGAAAAATTGTTGCCTGGCCGGTGTGGCTCAGTGGTTGAGCATCAACATATGAACCAGGAGGTCACGGTTCGATTCCCAGTCAGGGCACATGCCCTGGTTGCGGGCTTGATCCCCAGTAGGGGGCGTGCAGGAGGCGGCTGATCAATGATTCTTTCTCATCATTGATGTTTCAATCTCTCTCCTTCTCCCTTCCTCTCTGAAATCAATAAAAATATATATTTTAAAAGAGAAGAAAAATTGTTCGTTTGATTCCTTGGTGAACTCTCTAGTAATGGACTAGTTTTTAGTTTAAGAATTCTAAATTCTAGTCACCCCTAAGTTCCCACACGTATTAACTGGTCGGCAGACCTTAGCAGGAAACCGGTGGAATTACCCAGCATTCATCCACCATCGAGGAGGCGTCCAGACCGCAGCTTGTCGGCCGTACACTCTAACAGTCACACCACCTCCTTCCCCCCCGCCCCCCGCTTCCGGAGGCCCCAGCCTCTGTGCTCTGCATTTACTCATCATGCCCAGCACCCCCTTCCGTGCCTGCGCTGGACTTCACCGAGCCTTCCCTGCGCCCGGACGCCCCCCTCCCCCCTTGAACAGCAATGCCTGCAGCCAAGCTCTCGGCCCTTGACCTCAGACGGAGCTGCCTGGACTCCTGGCTCCGCCCTGACCGGCCACGGGGCCTCTGGGCGCTTACTTCACTGTCCCTGGCTTCCGTCTCCCCATCTGCAACTGGAGGCGGAGAATACCATCCTCGCTGAGGACCAGCGTGAGGACGCAGTGCAGCCAGGAGGCAGGGCAACGCCTGGCAGGAAGCTTGGCACGGGCGGAGGCTCGGAGAATGGGGCTGGCCGGCGCTTACTTCACTGTCCCTGGCTTCTGTCTCCCCATCTGCAACGCGAGGCGCGAGGCGGAGAATACCATCCTCACTGAGGACCAGCGCGAGGACGCAGTGCAGCCAGGAGGCAGGGGAACGCCTGGCAGGGAGCTTGGCACGGGCGGAGGCTCGGAGAATGGGGCTGGCCCTGCTGACATGAACAAGTTCTTGTCCACGCTCCAGCCCACAGCCTCACGGGAGGCAGACAGGCAAGGACAGCCCTGCTCCAATATGAGTCCTCAAATTCAGCTTTGACCGAGAAAAGCCATCATTTTACTCAACGTTTGTTATTTCTTTACGACACAGTAATATAAATGCATGTAAATTCACGTGTGGCATTGGTGACACGTTGACTCCGCACTTACTAAGTCCCAGGCCACGTGCTGAGATGCGTCCTGAGGATGAGCTCACGGCGTCCTCCCTGGCACCCCAGGTCCAACGCTCAAGCACATTTTACAGAGGAGAAAACGGAAGCCCAGAGAGGTTAAGTACCTGCCCAAAGACACACAGCCAGGAAGCGGCAGAGCTGGGACAGGCGTCTAGGTCTGCACAACTCCAGAATCTGAGCGCTTGACACCTACCCCCTGTGCACTGGACACAGAAATCCTGGACAGACAGACACACTAGGGGATCCCACCAACCAGAAATCATCCTTTCTATTTTTACATCTAACCTTCAAAACTCGTATGCTTATTTGTAAACGTATATCTTCAGTGGCGAGCTGGCACAGCCATGGCATACTCAGCCCCAGGGCGCCTTATGTGCTGCACCAGCTCAGCCAGGTTCGGTGACCCTGAGGGGGGCGGGGGGGGTAAAGGATGGAGAAAAGACAGACAAGAGAAGAAAGCTGGGTCTGGATGGGACCCGGATGGAGAGACAGGCCAGGGACTACAAGCCGTGTCTTTATTTTATAGCAGATGCCACGAGGCAAAGTAAGGGCGTGGTCAAGATGTTTACAACATTCTCATGGGTTTCCATCCTACTCAACTACATGCACCTGAACTCTATCAAGCCCACGTCACTCAGGCACGTGGGGCCACGTGTTCGGACCATAGGTTCAAGCTCACAACCATAGCTGTTGGCTATAATTGTGCTGGGAGGGCCCTGCCCTCCAAGCTGGGACTTGCACGTGGCCATGAGAGGACTGTGCCCTCTCATTAGTCCGAGGCTTGAACCTGTCCCAACACTGTAGCTGCTCCCCACAATCTTCCATAAGTGCAGACCCCTGTAAGCAGACTTTTATGTAAGTGTAAATAACACACTATTTTTAACTTTTTTTTTTTTTCACTGAACAGCATATTGTGAGCATCTTTCCAGGAGGCCAAGTCCTCGGCTCAAAATCACCTGTGACGGCTGCCAAGGCCTTCCTTTGTATAAACGTCTAATAACGGGCTTGCCTAATCCCATCTTGTCTTCTCTCCAATTTTTATCACGAACGATGTCACCGAGAACGTCTTCCCATACCTCACATGTGAGCGCCAGTTCGTTTCCTCGGAGGGAGGCCCATAAGCAGAATGTCTGGGTCAAAGACAAGGCCGTTCGTAAAGACTCTGGTTGCAAATTCAGTCACCTCGTTACTGTCTTCCCTTCCCAGATGTCCCCGCCTCTGGTCCGTCCACCTGCCAAAGTGGAACCACCATCCTGGTGCCGGCTTTGCTCACGTGACCCTGCTCAGGAGTCAGCAGCAACTGCGGGGGGGCTGCACACCGGGTGAGGCGCCGCAGGGCGCGGCTGTGACTGTGGGCCCTGCGCCCCGCGTCATGAACTGTCATCCATGTCAGCCTGTCCCGACGGCTCCCAGCGCTGGAGCCGTTCTCCCGCTTTGCAGCAACGTGAGAAATGGAGTTGGGACTGTGGGTTATCACCAATGAAACGTCCTCCAGTTGGAAGGATCCCCCTCCCCCTTTTCTGCCGTCTCTGTGCTTCCTGCTGGGGGAGTTGAGGGCTGAAGGTTGTGCTTTCTTTCATGGAAGATCAAGAAGGGTCACAGGGAGCCGACTCTGGCCACGGTTCTACTTGGCAAGGTAACTGTTCCAGGACTTGCAGACACATCATCCCTCCAACTCTGCCGGTTGTCACAGGGCCTCCTCCCTGGGTCTGCCTCTGTCCCTTCGCTTCTTATAAGGCCCTCGGGCACACTGGCCAGCTCCACTGCAGTATGACCTCATCTTAATCAGGACATCTCCAATCGCCCCGTTTCCAAATAAAGTCACATGCGGAGGATGCAGAGAGGACTGGAACTGTGTGAGGACTCGATTCAACTTAGAACTACGCCCGAGTTTGGTTCCAAAGCCCGTGCCCTTTGCCACAAGCCATATACTGCCTGCAGCACACTGGTGGCGGTGGCGATGGTGATGATGATGGTGATGGCGATGATGATGATGGTGATGGCAGCTACCACTGTGTTAATATTTACGAAGCCCCCAGTTCTCTTCTACGCACTTTGTATGCACTCACTCAGAAAAAAACGTGCAGCAACCTACGAAGTCTACTATCACCCCCATGTCAGAGACGCGACTTTGAGGCCCAGGCGGCAAAAGGGCTGCCGAGGTCGAACAACAAGGAAGCCGCAGAGATGGGTTCAGACCGGGGCTTGTCCGAGCCCAGATCCAAGCTCCCCAACCACCCGGGAACCTGTTCCCAGTCCCTCCTGCCCGATCCTGCGGGGGAGGGAGGTTCGTGACTGGAGGCAGGCATGTGCCAAACAGCTGGGCAGATGTGGCAGCCATCCTCGGAGCAGCGCACAGCTCAGACCGCCAAGCCTGCACGCGGAGAAGCACCGGGGCCAAGGGGCTGGGTTTTCCCCTCAGGGCAAGACTGATCGTGTCTATTTCATGATGAAAAGCTGGGTAATAGTCAGGTCACAATACACACCCCCCGCAGACCGTGCAGCCAGAAGCCGGGCCGCCCCAGCTCACAGGCCGGTCTGTAAACGGACCACGTTTTCTCTGCCTGCTGCACCCACGCCCCTGGCTGATTAAACCACTGAGCTAAGCTGGCGGCGGACCTGGGGCCCAGAGCAGATGCTCAGACTCCCCGACAATCAAACACTGAACGGGGTCACATTGTTCACCTACCACCTCCACCAAAAAGGGGAGCGTGAGGTCCCCAGGTACAGCAGAGGTGTGGGCAAGACGCAGCCTCATACTCTGCTGGCAGGAGGGCATGATGGTGCCGCGTGCGTGGAGGACGGTTTGGTGACAGCAGTCAAAATTGAAAATGACCAGAGGCTTTAATAAGGCGACTGCATTTCTGGGGCCCTCGCCTACAGATGTGTCTGCAAATGTGTATGCGTTTATTATAGAGAAACGGAAAGCCACCCATTTGCCACCATATGGGATCACTGGATAAATCCCGGTAAGACTAAGATAAATTGAGGTCCCTTCGGTAGCGTCTTCTGTGGTCATTAAAAACAGTGAAGTGGGCCCAGCCGGTGTTGTACAGTGGTTAGCGTCGCCC